GGAGACAAAGCAATGCAAACCAAGATGCTCTCAGGCACCTTGGTGTGCAGAAAATGAACTCCAGAAATGTATTAATAATGTGAAGGAAAGCACTTAAACGTTAGGCATTATATCTTACAGTAACTCTTACAACATCCTAAGAGCTGAATGATACAGGTTAGTATAGATAAAGCTGGTCCAAATCACTTTTACTGACTAGGTTTATTAGAAAGGCAATCCACCTTTTGGTATCCATCTTTTTTATTCTGTAATTCTTCCACGATATAATGAATATTTATGAAGCACATCTTATATTCTGCATCATGATTAAAGTCGTCAGTAACTGCCAATTGTAAGGTTTTTACTATAGTGTCACACTGATAGCTGAACTTGTGAAAGATGACAGAAAGTTGACTCTAGATCAAGTGTGCCACACATCTGTGATCCCAGCACTTGTGAAGTGGAGGTAGAAGTATCAGGAGTTCAAGGTCCTCTTTAGCTGTATAGTGAGTTCAATACCAGCCTGGGCTACATGAGACCCTGTGCTTAGAGAAAAGAAAAGAAAAATGATTTGACTACAAAATTGCAGACTGTGGTAGAATTCCCTTTTTCTCCTTTCTGCCCCCACTCCATTTCTTTTTTTAGCTTACCTTTTATTTATTCTTCGTGTCTGTCACACGGTGCATCTCAATCCCACTCATTTCCCCATCCCTTTGTATCCATCCTCTGCCCTTGCAGCCCTCCCCCAAAAATAATAATAAAATTTAAGAGAAAAAAATGAAAACTCTTGTCATGGAGGCTGTACTGTGACACAGTAAGTCACACTGTAAACCCTTTGTGCATATGTCTTTACTTGCAAGTATTCATTGCAAAGAGTCGTTGGTCTGACTCAAAGTCTCTGGTTTCTGCTATGCTATCGATGCTGGGCCTCAGTGGTATTCATCTTGGATGTCCTGTTGCTCTGTGTCATGGAGATCCTGAAGTTTTGGGTCTGCAGGACCAGCCCCTTCACATGCTCCCATAGATCACAGATGGGGCGGATGTTGGGGGGGGCCAACTCATAATCATGGTTCTGCACCTGGGTAGTTGCAGGGTTGGTCAGCCCACCAGCTCTCTCTTGCCCTCACCACCAGGGGGACCCTCCAGCATTGTCCCTGGCTAATTACTCCCTTGAAGCAATAAGCAAAGAATGAAGAGATGGGGCCAGTTCTCCTGCTTTCATGTCCTCAGGGTCAGCTCTGCGAGACACCTGGACTATCAGGGCCAGCTCTACTGCCTTGCCCAAGGGCCACTCTCCCAAGTACCGCAGGTGGTAAGGGGCAGGGACAGCTCTTCTGCTCTTATGATCCAGGGACAGCTCTCCCAGCCACCACAGGCAGTGAGGAGTGGGAGGAAGTATCTCTCCACTACCCACACCACCACATGGTAAATGAGAGGCAGGGCCAGATTCCCATGCTCAGTGGTTCACCTGTACTCCTGCCAATAGGGCCAGCTCTGCAGTGCTGCCCAGGCTAGGTAGTGGTCATGTGACTGAGTGAGTGCATAATTGTGCAACACACACAACACAAACCAATAACACTCAAGCAAATAAGTAAATAAATGTAACAAATTCATTCTCTCTTTAAAAAGTAAATATACTTGTTTTGACTCAGAATTATTCTTTTTTTTTTTTTTTTTTTTTTTTTTTTTGGTTTTAGGAGACAGGGTTTCTCTGTATTGTTTTGGAGGCTGTCAGTCCAGCCTGGCCTGGAACTCACGGAGATCCGCCTGCCTCTGCCTCCCGAGTGCTGGGATTAAAGGCGTGCGCCACCACTGCCCAGCCAGAATTATTCTTAATGTAAGGTTAACTATTACAGGAACAAAATTACAACCTCTATTTCTAACAGGAGAAAAACAAGGAATACTTGAATCCATCAAAACAAATTGACAATATTTTTCTATAAAAGGTAAATAGCAAATATTTCTGTCTTTATGGACTACACTCTGTCATGATATGATGAACGCTGCTATACACTACACATAATTTAATGAGCTCTATTCATGTTTCAACAAAACTTTATTTGCATATAAATTTGTTAAGCTCTGAAGTAAAAAGGGGAAAAAACATAAGAAACTATGGAAGATAGAAATGCAATAAAATGGCAGACAATCTGAACATCAGACTTCTCAGTTAAACACAAAGCAATTTGCAAATTGAATAAAGCAAACATAATCAAGGAAATTCCAGAGCTTCACAGAAAACATAGTCACAGAGAAGGATGAAGAGGTTCACTGAAAATGTCTAAGAGAACCTAGCAGTGTTCACATACACACATACCCTAGAAAATCTTGGTTTTCAAGAAGATATAGGCACAGGTCTGACTTTAACTGTGGCTGTAACAAATTCCTACAAAGAAAAACAATCTTTTTTAAATGGCCAAATGTTAATATTTACTAGCCAATAGCTGCATATCTAGTTATTATTTTCTGTATTTTAAAAATATCTTAGAATTAGCCAGGCATTGGTGGCGCTCGCCTTTAATCCCAGCACTCAGGAGGCAGAGGCAGGCAGATCTCTGTGAGTTCAAGGCCAGCCTGGTCTACAGAGCGAGTTCCAGGACAGCCTCCAAAACAATACAGAGAACCCCTGTCTTGAAAAACAAAACAATACAAAAATCTCAGAATTAACTTTTTTGGAACAAAGAATGTGTATGATGAAAGGTTTTATTCAATCCTATAAGCTGTAATTACTTAGCCTTCAGTACAAAGAAGCCAAACTGATAAAGCTGGGTTTACCTTGGGAGGGTGCCTCCCTCCAGAAGTGCAAATGGATGCGATGTTGTTTTCTGTTTCTGTAAATGTGTCCCAGAGGCTGTTGAACCTTGAGCTCGTGAGTCAAGCTCACAGCAGCCATTTGCAATCACTGTGGCCTAATATGTGGCTATCACTTAGCTTCTCCTCGAAGAGCAGTCTAAACAGTCCCTCCAAGTCCTCCCCAGGTCCTTGCTGCTTGGTATTTATCACTGTCATGGCCAAGTTAGGAAATTTTCATAGACTGATGTCCAGTGTGCCCGCATGATCTCAGCCTGCTTTTACAGCTGTCATAAAGATGATTGATCCAACCCCGTCTGGTGACAACGACATGTTTCTCTGATTTAATGAACTTATACTCAAAGTCCTTATATCTAATCCTTTCATTTACAAAAATTGTGGCCTAGAGAAATCGTATTTCCTTCATTTAAAATTTATACACTGCAAATCTGGAAGCTAATTGTGGACCCATCATTACTATCATTCTATTAAGACAGTGCCTGCATTCCTGAGATGCCACAGAACAGAGTGTGGAGCCTGTGAAAAACCCTACATGGGCCAGATGTTGAGACACCATGATTTATTCCATGTGGACTAGCATTAGTGTAATGCATTTGGCACTAGAGACATGTCCCTATGTGACACTGTTAGCCAGCTTGTACCTGTTGGTGCAGCCATGTTTCTGGAAGAGTAATCTAACAGATAAGCACCGTTTTATGACTTCACATTGTAAACAGTTTAAAGTGGACCTTGTCTGTGGACAGCAGCCTTAGCTGCTGAGCAACAGCCATAACACTGCTGACACGGTTAGGCACAGCCCATATGAATTATCAGACTTGCCCAGGTCAGCTGCTGTGAGCTAAACAGCCACTAAGGAGTACTTCTAGAAGACACAGAGGATTCTTGGATCTAATACATTGTTTCTCACACTTTCAGTATGTATGATTCATTCATGGATCTTCTTAAATGCAGGTTCTTTTTAAGAAAGTTTAAGGCGTGGTCAGAAATACTTCATTGCTGGGTAATTTCATTCCTTTTGGTTCAATGACCACTGTCAAGTACCAAAGCCTTTTCCTTGCACTTGGGAATCCTACAGACTATAATGAAGCAACTATCTGTGTCCAAGGCAGGATTTATGTGGCCCAAGGGGATTAAAAGAATGTTTTTTTTGTAAACTACACACAATTCTAGAAATAAGCTGTCTAAATAAGATCATCCCAAATGAGGACTGTCTGGGGAGAAGGCATGCTACCACCACAGGACAAGGTGTGGACAAATGGCTATCTGGTAGTATAGTGCACTGGAAATTCTAGAGACCCAGAGCAGGTGGGCAAGAAGCAAATGCCTCCTTCCTCATGTTCCATGAACTGTCTGCTAAAGAGCAAATTAAACTGGGGAGGCAAAGGAAACTCAGAGTGAGAGTACTCAGACCTACGAACAAATGCCAGCCCTTCCAATTACCTATGTGGCCATGATTAAGTTGTTTAAAGCTTTGAGATTCCATTTTCACAATTCTGAAGGGGAAACAATGTTACCACTATTACCATTTTAATATGAAAAGTTCCCATGTGTGAAAGCTTGGGTCCCACTGTGGCAAGATTCAGATACGGGGTTTAGGGGAAGCAAATGGATCATAGAAGGTTGATTAATCCAGTGATGGATTTGTTATTTGAAGCATTATTTAGAGTAACATGTACTTAGGAAGTGGAGGAGATCCTTGGAGGTGAGCTCTTGTAAACTACATTCTCTCCCTCCTATACACCCCCCTTTCATCAAATGGGGTATGAAATGTTCCTCCGCTTTGATCTTCCACCTCACTACAGAGCCAGCTACCCACAGATGGAAACTTCTGAAACCTCAAGCCAAAATAAATCCTTTATCCTTAAGGCAGGTAGTTAGCCACAGTGGCAGGAAGATGACAATCACAACTGAGTCACAAAGATTTCTGCACTCAGCAAGGTAATTATTTGAAAAGTACTTTTGGAAACTCAGGGTTCTGCATCTAGTCACTTTATTTAGAAGATACATGCTCATAAGGGAAACAACAGATGGGCCTTAGTGGTATCTCCCTTGAATGAAAAGCACTTTAACACTTTATTTATCCCCAGTGAGCCTGACTCAACTGAAATGGACCACAGGTCATCTTAACAGTGTTCTTATTGGTCCTTGTATTGGTACTTGGGATAATAGCAGCAATTCTGTTCAGCACAGTGTGACACGCCACAAAATAATAGAGGTCTCAAAAATAGTCTTTTATTTTTCCACAGATTTATCAAGTGTCATTTAACCTCATCATACCAAAAAACAAACAGGGCCCAGTTGCAGATGCTATGTAATACTCAACTTAAATATCTTTTTTTCTGGGGCTGAAGGGACTAGCTCAGCAGTTAAGAGCACTGGCTGCTGGTTTCTAAAGTTCTAAGTTCAATTCCCAGCATCCACATGGATACTCACAACTGTAACTGTAGTCTCATGGGATCTGGTGTTCTCTTCTGGTGTGAAGACATGCAGACAAAACACCCATATACATCAAATACATGAATAAATAATTTTTAAATTCTTCTTTGAGACAGAGTCTCAGTATGGACCCCTAGCTGAAGTACAATTCATTATGTAGACCAGGCTATCCTTGAATTCACAGAGGTTCACCTGTCTCTGAAGATCAAGTGCTACAACAAAAGTTACATGCCCCCACTCTCAGCTTGTCTTCAAAATCTTGTGGCATGGTGATTCATGTAACACAAACACTTGGGAGGCAGAGAAAAGAGGATAATAGGTTCAATCCCAGCCTCGGCTGCAGAGTAGGACCCTGTATAAACCAATGGATGAATGAATGAATGAAAGCAGGATAAATAAAATATGAACCGATATGATTCTAATGATTATATGCATAATAGTATATTCTGTGCCACATGTGGCAGGGTTTTAACTCTGCACTGTGTTGTTATATACGTACCTAAGTGGATGCTGCTAGTTGTCTACAGCTTACTTATCCTCGTACCTAATCATTGATTATACAATATCAAACAACATTTCTAAATTACTTGTTTGTACATCCCCCTTGCTACGAATTACTATAACTGATGACTACAAAGAACAATTACAATTGTTGCCTCTCTTTTTCTTGCATTTCTATATGTCACTGAGTATTCCCACCTCCTCATAGGGACAATTTAGGACAGTTGCTCTTTACCCAAGAGCTATCTTGTCCCACGCCAGGACATCTGACAATATCAACTCTCACAATTGGGACAGAGGTGGCTCTAGCAAGCTCCGAGCGGTGAACAAGGATGATGCTAAGTGTGCAATCATCAGGGAACCCACTGCATCAAAAACACAGTGCTACTAGCACTGAGGTTGAGAAGCTGACTTTGAGAGAAGCTAATTCCTCCTCCTGCTCAAGCATCCCGGAAACTCACAAACGGAATTCCTTGCAAAAAAAAAAAAGAGAGAGAGACTAATGGTGAACACTTGGCCATTAGAGTCCATGAACCTGAACAAGAGATTTCTTGAGGATTCTGGGAGAGATTGGCTCTTGTCATCTTTTGAGAGGTTTTAGAAGTAGCTCTTCGTGGCTGGTTCTACCCATATAGATTATCAGGGAACAGTTTTACTCTCTGTTGGAGAAGCACTCGGGAGGCAGAGGCAGGCAGATCTCTGTGAGTGCGAGACCAGCCTGGTCTACAATAGCTAGTTCCAGGACAGCCTCCAAAGCCACAGAGAAACCCTGTCTCGAAAAACAAAAACAAAAAAAAAAAGCTAAAATACGGGAAAAATACAGAAAACAGTGAAGATGCTAGGAATGAAAATGCATGGAGTAGTGAGCCCTGAGTGGTGGCAGGGGGGGCTGGGGAGTGAAAAAAATCAGAGTCAATAAGTTTTCCAAGAAGTCCCAGTCTGTCTAATTACATGAATTATTGGGTTAACTGAGAGGGGAGCAGAAAGAAAAATATCTGAGGAAATAGTGACTGAGATTTTCTGCGTTTGATAAAGTGTAGACTTACAAAAATAGAGTAATTCCAATAAACGCAGTCACAAGGAGGGGAGGAGAAAGACTGTCATTATAATAAAAGCGGTTTAAGTCAATGGTAGACATCTGTGGAGAATTTCTCCTTAGAACTGTTAGCAGGTTTTGGGAACGCTGATTTAAATGAATTGTCTTTCTCCTCACAGTCAGTGCTGCTGTGAGCCGAGTTCAACTTCTGTCACACTCAAAGCTAGCTTGGATTAGTGAATAGATCTCATTGTCCAACTAATGAATTATGTATCACAATCACATGGCCAGTCAGACCGAGCTGAAAATGCTGCCAAAAGTTGTGTCCCTGATTTAATTAACTCCTTCACTGCAGCTGCAAATCCCCTATTGCCCTACTGTGTATTAAGAATCGATCCATCCCACCCCACTCAAAACCGCTAGTCTGAGTAGAAGCATGGTGTCATCTTCCTTTTATTAAATCCTTCTGATCTTCATATGTACATCATGTCCATACTCTGTGAGTGCATCTTATGAGAAGGAGGAACCAGTGCCCAGTATGGTCTCTTTGAAGGCCATGCTGTCTGTCCTTTTCTGTCAACAGACTTTCTTTCAGCCTGACAGTGGTTTTCAACCTTCCTAATGCTGTGACTGTAAAATTATGTTGTTGCTACTTGATAACTATATGTTGCTGCCACTGTTATAAATTGTAATGTAAGTACAAATTAGGATTGGATGTGTATATCCTACGTGAGGACATCTAATACGTGACCAACAAAGAGGCTGGGACTCACAGGTTGAGAACCACTGAAACAGGTTTCTCAAGTTACTGCCCAAGGAACAGGTTTGGAGAAATGCCTTTCCTTTCTTAGTAGGAAGGCCCAGCTGTCTATGGGCAATTGTTCTATCTTTCTCCAGAACTCTTTACAACAAGGAGGAGGTCCTCTTCATGAAAAACAAATCTGATCCCCTGATCAGAATCACCAGAGTGATCTCATTCACCAAGGATGATTTTCTAGTCGGGCATGCTTGTGCATGCTTGTGCCTGCCAATAACCTCAGCAGAAGGACCACAAGCCTGAGCCAGGCTAGGTCTGAATAGTAAGATCTTGGGGAAAACAAAAACAAGGAGCTGGAGAGATGGTTCTGCAGGACCAGAGTTCACTTCCTAGTGGTTCACAACCACCTGTAAACCCAGCTCCAGGACATCAGATGACCTCTGTGGCCCCTTCTGACACTTCAGTCTAGAGCACAAACCCACGAAGACATGCACATACTCACATAATTCAGAACAACAACAAAAACCTCCCAACACCACCCTCTTCAAAGAAAAAGAAGGTGATTTTCCCCTTCTAAAGATATGTATATAAACACACTTACTTCATGAGAGACTTTCATAGGTACTTTATGGTTGGTTTATGGTTGGTTGCATGGTTACTTGGTTGCTTAGTTGGATGGATGGTAGAGACAGTGTCCTGCTATGTAGCCCAATCTGATCTCAAATGATCCTCCTGCCTCAATACTGGGATTACAGGTATATGCCACCAACTCTGGCCTTAACACACGTCTTTCAGTTTTACTCCTGAACTAGAAATTCACTGTCACACCCATGAAAGATGTTTAAGAAACATGGTTGTGCACTTCTCCTAACTTCCAGGGAGACCACACAACAACTTGGTTTCAGTTTAGTAATGGATATGAGTAACTGTTCCGAGCTTTAGTCTGAGATGTTGGGAACGAATGTAGGAGCTCAGCCTCAAAGACCTGCTGTGGTTTTCAACAATCTGTTCTATGTAAACAGTGTGTTTTCAAAGTCCAGGAGTGTCCAGATAAAAGTTGCCTGGAGTTTTTGTAAACATTTGCTTTTGATGGCAGAAATAATGACAGGTCTTAGCATGACCTCTGTCCTTAACCCTTTCCATCTCAGGGTTCTCCCTGCAAAGCCCCAGTGCTCTTTTTGGGTTCCCTATCCTCAAGTCCCCAGTTTTTCTGGGAGGAGCAAAGTTTTTCCCACATCAAGTCAGACTGAACTTTCTCTGAAGTCAAGATGCTTGGGCTTCTGTAGACATTACCTCAGCCCACTTCTTTTCGTTATACACTTTTCTTCTCCAGGCCTGGATAATTGCTTTTTTTTTCTTTACTCTCTCAGGGCTAATCAACCCAAAGTTGGAAACTGTATCCATACAAAGCTCTGGAGGGAATGGTTGAGAGTTTTGAACAAGTGCTTCACATAAAAAGAACGGAAGTGTCCATAAGACAAAACTGATAAACTCTAGATACACCTCAAGCCTTCAAAGCCAGTAGTTCTGATTATTCAAGAAAGTGATAAATATTCATATTTCTAGGTAGGAGCTAAGATCATCCGTAATTCCCGCCCACTGAATGGCCTCCCAGCTCCAGTTAGAAAAGGTCTTCAGCGATGCTTACATTTCGATTTTCCTTTCAACATGGCCCTCTGTAGACCTACAGACTCAGAGCCACCACCTTCACAAGAAGCCAGCCTTCCCTAGCATGTGGTTCTCCTTTTTTATTATAGCTTATTATTTATTTTGTGTGTATGTATGTGTGTGTGTTCGTGTGTGGAGCTCACCTGGCATTGTGTGAGTGTGGAAGTCAGAAGACAACTTACGAGTCGGTCTCTCGTTCTGCCTTGTGGATCCTGGAGCTCAAACTCAGGTCATCGGGTCTGGAGGCAAGAATCTTTACCTGCAAAAGCAACTAATGAGTGATATTTGATCTTAATCTCTATGTCTTCTAATTATCTGTGGCCACTAAACTGAACAATCCCCAGGGATTTCTAAAAGGAGGAGTATACTAGTAAATAACTACTTACATCTATGGCTTCCCTCAGGGAGGCCATCAAATCCTGGCCCTACCTCACCTCCATTGGGGAAAGCCAAAGGACTTCCTAAGTAGGAAGTTTGATTGCATTTACTGAGCACTTGCTGTTTGCTAGACCGGTTCTAAATGTTTCGAATGAATTCCTCCAGTGTCCTCGGCCTGCCTGAGGACTGTTAGTGCTTGCTTTTTACCTGGAAGAGGACCAGAAAGTTATGCAATTTTCCCTTTCAGAGGAAGTAAGAGAAAGCTCCATCCCAAAGCCTGCCACTTTCACGTATTGATTGTTGTAGGATGAAGCAGATTTTAAAGAAGCAGACATAAGTAAAATCCTTTTACCTCCCCCTTCCCCATCTCTGACAGGAAGAGTAGCAAGCCTTTTTTTTTTCAGTTTTATTTTAGTTTTTTTTCAAAGGCTCAGGACAACTCTAGACCTTATCAACTCAAAGAAAGAGACAGAAGAATATTCATAGCGGACATAGCTAACTGGTCTTAGATTTCCCTTGGTCATCCACATAGGGTTCCTTCCAAGGTCCTTCTCCTTTGTTTCCTCATTTCTCTACAAGATCATTGCTTTCTCAGAGATTCTGTGTGAGTTCAGGCTCTAACCATCCCTCCAAATCACCAAATACCCCATGTGAGTACACAGCATACATGTTAATACTGTTGTCTGTTTTACTCATCTGTCATTTGTCAGTCTCATTCACAAGACCCCAGTCAACAAATTGAAGAACAGTACAATGGAAACTTGAAAATCAGTAGTTGATGGAGCAGGGAGCCAAGGGTGACACTTAATAGTGGTGTGTTTGCCAACTACAGAGAGGAGATAAACTTTAATTGTGTGGTGCAGAGACCCTTGTGCTCACAGATACTTAGGCGAACCTGGAGTGTCATCACGAGAGGTTATTCTTCAAGGGAAGGAATGTTGTACCTGTTGTCCATCCAGAAGGCTGGGAGCAGCTGGACAGGCATTTTAGCCTGGTGACCTTTGTGTTATCTGTGTGACCGGAGACCACACCAGGCCCTCCCGCAGATCCTTGTTTCCTCAGTCAGTCTATCTTTATAGGAAGTGTCATATGTACTTTACAAAGATTTTGATGTAGTCACTCTCAATCTTTACTCGCTTGCTGTTCCCCAGAGAGATTCCTGTGTGCTTTGTGGTGCACATAAGATTGAGTTAATTATCACCAGACTAAGTTTTCACTAAGTTGTTCTGTACTTAAATATGCCTAAACTACACTATTCAGGGTCAGCGTCCCAAAGTTTCATGTTAAACCAAACTGCCTTCTTGCTTCCCACAGACCATCACTCTACTGGCTGTAGAGGTCAGAGAGACCTGTGCAGCCAGGAAGGAAACCGGCTCACTGGTTGAATAATGGAGCCTGCACCTCCTCCTGCTAGGCCTGTCTCTTCCTGCTTTCTTCCCACCTGCCTGTCCCCATGGGCAGTGGCTCCTTGCCGTCTCTCCTCCCCGGCAGGCCCAGCCAAGTCTCTTTTGGCTCCTTTACAACTTTCAGTAACTAAATAAGTTAATTCATAAGAGGACCAAAAGGACACTGTGTTTTAGCATTTAGTTCCCAAATGCTTTCTTCCATTCACTGTCTCCATTAATAAGACTTACACTTTAGACCACCAACAAATAATTCTTTTTGTGTAAAAGGGACACAAACTCGGATGGTTAGGGAAGGGAGGGGTTGGCGGAGGGGTGGATAGGATCAAAAATGGTCATGAGAAGATCTCAAAGAACTAATAAAAATGAGGACGAAAAATTAAACAAAATAAACGCAATTTTAAATTTAAAAAGCCCTCTCAAACATAAAAAGAAAATCCCAGTTTTTAGAAGTATCGTTTCCACAGTCTGGAGGAATCGTCAGCAAGGCTTAAGGCATCAATCAACCTGCTGACTCTGGTTCCTGGCAAAGAAGTCCCGGAAGAGAAGCTGCAGCTGGGGTTTTGAAATAGTCTCCAGAGTACAGGGCGATCTCTTCCTAGTCAGGCCCCCAGTTGTCGCGATAAGCGACCCTTTATAAAGCACACTGCTGCCAGAAACAAAAGCTTCATTCACTGACCCTTGACCCCTGTGCAGTGACTATCCTGTCCTCAGGTCCTTAGAGACCTGCTGCTTGCTCTTGTTAAACAGCATGAGTGCGGGCCACTGTTTACAGCACACACTTAAAGGGTACCATTTTCAAACAGCAACTCAGAAGCTTCTGGAAACAAAGGCGAATGGGGACAGCCTGTTCAGTGCACTTTCCTGGTCCTTTTTAAAGACAGACTGATGTTCATTATCCTCCTGCCTCAGTACAGGTCTGCACCATGCCTGGCCCATCCTTTTGTCTTGCTTACCCTTTAAAGGAACTTAGAAACGCCATCTCTGGCAGGCTTTGCTCTGCAGGGGAATCCAATATCATCAAATCCAATGTCCTGTGGATCCTCCTAGCTCTTCCTGAGTACTCACTGGCCTTCGTTCAGACAAACCCTTTAGTTTGAAGAACTGATTCCTTAGAGAAAACCAGTTAACCTTTCTTTCTCTTCTCGGTACGATGGTAATGGTTTTCTAATTTTCAGAAAGTGCAAGTCAGAACCTTGAACTTGTGTAGAAGTTTTTTGTTTAGGTTCAGTTTTTTGTTTTGGTTGTTTTATTTTTTATTTTTCTCATGGTAGAATCAAGCCCAGGGTCTCACAAATGCTCCACTATTGAGCTATGTACACAGCTCCTTCCGGTTATGTATCAGGCTTTCTCTCTGGCATTTTTGAATGTCAAAAATCTTATTTACAAAAAAATAAAACAAAACGTTCTTTTCACACTTTCTTTCCTTCAACTAGGAATTTACATCAATTCTTCACTCTCCACATGGAGTTTCAAGTAGAAATGGAACTACAAAATTTAGAATGAAATTTCTTTTCTGCTCTAAAAGACGAAGACCTGGGCTGTGTCAGAGTGAATGGGTTTTCCAAGTCCAACGTGTTTCCAGTACCAAAATGACAAGAGCCACTCTTACCTGGACACCCATGTCCACAAACTCGAATAGTAGCAGAGACTCGGTGAGATGTGTGAAGATCCTGTGAAAGTGGTTACAGACAGCCCTCACTCCCTATTCAACTGTGTTTCCGTGGCTTCAGGGTTTGCTTTTTGGCAGCCAAGGGCTCTTTCACTGAGCTCTGTAGCCCCAGTCCTGTTTACAGCCTTTAAAATCAAATACATAAACATGAGTACACACACACACACACATACACATACACACACACAGACACAGACACACACATACACACACACATATACACAGACACACACAGACACATACACACATACACACACACTCACATACACACACATACACACAGACACACATACACAGACACATACATATATACGCACATACACACACACATATACACAGACACACACATACACATACACGCATACACACACACTCACATACACACAGACACACACACACACACACATATACACAGACACACACATACATATACACATATGCACACACACATACACACACACTCACATACACACAGACACACATACACAGACACACATACATATATACACACATACACATACACATATACACAGACACAGACATACACACACACACACACACACATACACACACAGAGAACCATGTGACGTTTACTCAGTTGCCAAACACATAAATCCACGACTTAGATTTCACTAGCAAGTGCTAGGTGCTACGTTTTGTTTTACGGTTTGTCCTGTTTTAGTGTCAGTAGTTTTGCAGCATTTGAGACGACAGGACTCTGTTTCATGTGGCCCACGGGGCGGGGAGGGGTGGTGAAGGGGAGGATCCCTTTCTCGGTTGCTGCTATATAGTAGGATCTCTTTAGTGCTGGTGATAATATATGCCACAGGAGACAGTGTTGCTGGATAACTTTAGGGACAGGGTTGGCATTTCCCTGACTGGGCCCTATCATGGGAAGAAACAATACTGGTGTTACAAACCTTTAGGTTTGTGGTTTCTAGCCTCCTAGTACATAAAAGCCATATTACATGTAAGGGTCTCATTTCTAGACTGTTTCTGAACTGCTGTTTGATCTTCACCATTAGTGCCGTCTGACTAGAAGCCAAGCTATAACTGTCACACTGTCCTACTTGCTGACTTTGTGCTTTTGTTAAAGGGCTGTGATTAGCTCATTTTGAATCTGCCGGCATCCTGCAGAATGCCCACCACATCTGCATGTACCCCTCCAGGTCTCTTCCCCATCCTTCTACCCTTCCCCAAACCTGTGTCCCAAGAGGTTTCTTTACTTTGCACTCCTAATTAGCTCTGCCCTGCAAGGCACAGGCGGGAGGTTGAAAGAGAAGACTGGGGAGAAACCGGGTCTGGTGTTTTGTGGCTTGGGGTTGTGGCTAGCAGTGATATTACTTTGCTGAGGGCCACCAAGACCACCAAGCACTGCTCTCTGGGCACAGCTCACCTTCCTCCTCTGACTGGAGACTGTGTCCTCACTTCCGCTTCAGGTCTGGCACTGAGGCCTCTCTTCTCTGTAGCCTCCTTCCCGTGCTTCATCATCCCTCATTATTTGCTGCCTATTTCATTAATGCTCTTCTTAATTATTCTCCTTTCTCCCTTGTGACAAATTCTTTCATATGTTTTTGTGAGAGACTGTAACCAATGAGAAGACACATTACCATTTATGCAAATGCTTAGACTTTTCTTCAACCTGATATATAATCTAGGAAATGCTCAACTGGTGATTCAAAGATGAAAATGATCCTACAGTCTATCCCAAAGCTTAATACTACTTTTTGGTTTTGTTTGTTTGGTTTGGTTTTTTTTTTCCCTTGAGACAGAGTTTCTCTGTTTAACAATCCCGGCTGTCCTATAACTAGCTCTTTAGACCAGGCTGGCCTGGAACTCACAGAAATCTGCTATCTCTGCCTCTCACTTAAAGGTGAGTGCCACCACCACCCAGCTACTCTTTCTTTTCTTTTTTTGTAACCACTTTATCCTGTTTCTCTTCAAGGGCCTACGTGTATTTTTAAACACACGGTAAACCTTTAGAGGTTTTTCTTCATCTGAATCTGTCTTTACTGCTCACCACCTTGATCTATGCTGCCATCAAAAAACATGCTGCCGGCTTGGAGATGTGGTCACTACCACTGCCAGCTGCTCATACACACCAT